ATGGATGGATGGATGGATCTAGAAATGACAGATGCATGGGGTGACTAATCAATGAATAGACAGTAGATGGGTGAATAGATAAGATAGATGCGTGGATGGATATTCTTTAACGTGGGATATTTCCTCCGTCTTTCTGTGTTTTCCTCAATGCAGACTTTTTTAGGTATAATATGTACACAGTGAAATGCACAGACCTTCAGTATACAATTAAATGAGTTTGGGAAAATGCACACACCCTGTTGGTCTGTCACAGAGATTCCCTGACACTAGTTCCTCTGAGCCCCTTTCTCTGATCCCCACCCCCTGTAACAGGCAATCCAGATTTCCATCATCACAGATTTGTTTTTTCTGTTCTTGAGCTTCATGGAAGAGGAATCAGACATCCATGCACTCCTGTATCTGACTTCTTTGACTCGGCAAAGGTTGTTTCGGAATCCATCCATGAGGTTGTGCTTGCTGGCAACTCCTTCAGATATCCTGCTGAGAAGCATTTCTTTTTATGAATAAACTATGGTTGGTTTATTCATGCTCCCTCCCCAAAAGACATTTGTTTTTATTATCTTGAAAAAAGTTATTATAAACTTTTAAAGTTGTGTGTATTTGTATATACTCATGTTTTTATTTCTGTGAGATAAATATCCAGGGATTAAGCTATCAACTTATATAGCAGGTCAATATTAAACCTCTTAAGAAACTAAATTTCCAGTAGTCATGTATGAATGTGAGAGTTGGACTATAAAGGAAACTGAGCAATGAAGAATTGATGCTTTTGAACTGTGGTGTTGGAGAAGACTCTTAAAAGTCCCTTGGACTGCAAGGAGATCCAACCAGTCCATCCTAAAGGAAATCAGTCCTGAACATTCATTGGAAGGACTGATGCTGAAGCTGAAGCTCCAATACTCTGGCTATCTGAAGAACTGACTCATTTGAAAAGACCTTGATGCTGGGAAAGATTGAAAGCAGGAGGAGAAGGGGATGACAGAAAATGAGATGGTTAGATGGCATCACTAACTCAATGGACATGAGTTTGAGTAAACTCTGGGAGTTGGTGATGGACAGGGAGGCCTGGAATGCTACAGTCCATGGGGTCACAAAGAGTTGGGCATGACTGAGTGACTGAACTGAACTGAACTGAAGAAACAAAAAGTTTTCCAAAGTGGTGAATGCTCCTTCCTTCCAGTTAAGGATTTGGTGGCAATACTTAGCGCCAACTCTGCCCTAAAGTGACTGAGAAGGAAGTTCTGTCCAACCGGACAGTCTCCAGCTCTTGTTCTGCATGGACACATCCACATCCAAGTCTAGGTGCTTATCTTGGATTTGGCATAATAGTCTGAACCCTCCTGCCAGTCTCTGAGTGTGGGCCACGAAGCAGTGGTGGAGAAACCACATCACCTCTGGTCGTGGACTCCTCTTTATCAATTCAAGACTATAAGATGTCCCTCATTTTCACCCTATTCTGACAGTTCCTCTGAAAGAACAAACAATATCTCCCAGGCCTTGGTTATGTCAAGATAACATAACATAGGATAGTAGAATTACTAGGGAAGAAAATGAGAAGAAAAGACATCAACAGGTTATCTGTGACTGAAAGAACTTATTTTCTATTTTAAAATGTTCCAAACTGTAAACTAGTAAGTGACCATGCACTAACTTCTACAGAAACAGTTGTTTCCCAAACCATAATACACAAGCACACGCTGTGTTCTGGGTGGTGCATATCATGTCACTGGATGAAGAGGCTCCTCACTGACCCGCTTCCCTCTGACACCTGCAGAGATTCACAAGGAGAGGGCTGTCTGTATGCATCTGAAACTATAAATACAAAAATCCATCCTGTGTCCAACTCAGTCCACCAGGCTTCCAACCAATCTCCCACATGGACTTTCAAAAGAAGATGAGAACTGGCCACTCACCCAAGCACAGGACATGAATCTGGGCATGAATGAATCTACGGTTTGCCTCCACTGTGTCACCCACGATGTCTCTCATCTCTACAGACCTACTGGAGGTTTCCTGGAAGTTGGGTTCCTGAGTTATCTCCCCAGCAGGCATTCAGATGGCTGGTTTGTGGAATAACTCTTCTCTGTAGTCTCCTCTTTTAAACTTGGACCTACTTTCCAAGAGCTTTTCCCTTCACTTATATGATGTCCAACTATGAGTCTATAAGGATTGTTTATGCTACAGGTGACCTTCTCCCTAGGAAAAAAACATGTGTTGTATTCAGGGTTTTTTGTTTTGTTTTGTTTTTCTTTTTAGTCACCAAGCAACTACTTGAAGGCAACAAATCCTGTCAGATAATTAGAGTGTCTGTTTATTGCATTGGTAGTGTCTGTTCTTTGTCAGATCTTATTAGAGTTGAGATCTTCTGTTTCTTGGTATTCAGCTGATTTCCTCTTGCATCCTGGACATTCCATGTGTTGTGCTCTGAGACTTTGCTTCACATTTAAATCTTCTTTGTTAGCAGGCAGCCATCAACTTAGGTCTAGCATTCAGGTCCTGGTTACTCTATGGACTGTGGCTTGAAATTTGATTGGCAAAAAGCCTTTGCAATTCTCTCTGGCCACCCTGCTGGAAACTACACCATGGCTGATCTGTGGTCTGACTGGGGCTCATCAACTCAGTCCTCACACCTTTGGGCTTCACTCAGTTACCCACCAGACATGGAGTCCCCTGAGGAAGGGGCAGGTGTGGTCCTCTGCTGGGACTCAGTGCTTCACTGGTTCTCAAGGAAGACTCTATCTTGCTGGACAAACAGGGTCCTCCATGGGCCTTTTTTTATCTTCACCCACTCCTTGTCAGGGTCAAGGGCTTCTCCAGACAGGATGCATTGGAGGTAGTGCTTCCTGTATACATGGGATAAAGTAAAAGAACACATCTCTGTGTGTTTTCTCACAGCTCTCTCAGTCTGACTTTATCCAACTCTGTTTTGTGATACTTGCTTTTTACAGCCTGTTCAAGGCTTTTAACTCTAACTACTTGGAAGAATAGAGTGAAAAGCATTGACTTCATCTTAACTGTAACTAGAAGTCAAGAGGCCATCCTTTTTGAAATTCTTTTTTTTTTTTTTCATTTGCACATACAAACAGATCTTAAGACAAAAGGGACTGACTCCCAAAGGGAAAGAAGAGATGAGAGGTCCCCATTTATCCATAATGTTTGAGGTAAGGGCCTTTATATCACCCTTATGCCTTTCAATTTGCTGAAAGAAGGTAACAGGAAAGACACTGTACAAAAAAGAGAGTTATCTTTGACTGTTGCCAATGTCTTCACTGGTACCAAGGCAGACCAGAGACGTGAAGGACATCACCAAGATGGGGGGTCAGAGTAGAAGCTCTTGGCATAAAAGTTCAGTTTCACCTTTCAGGGCATGAAAGGCAGAGAGTCCAAAACGCAAGACAGGAGATCAGCATCTGAGTTGAGAGATCCTCCGGTGGTTTCTGAGTCCTCTGTAGTTTCTTCAGCTACATAGCAATTTGCATATTAGAGAATCAGAGGTCAGCAGTAGCCCTGAGGAGGACCCACCCCTAACATGCAGAAGCATGAACAGTGCTTCTGTGTCAGGACAGGAGGCTGACGTGGGCTGTGGCAACACCCACAGATCTGAACACCACAGATCTTACTCTGAACACCATATACTAATATGGCTATCATTCTAGATAACCGACATCTGTTTTCTATTAACTTCATGCTACCCTTCCTGGCTTCTGACTTCTTCCTAAAACCACTTTGTTTCTGCCAAAGAACTTTTATAAATTAGTTCAGATTTTCTTTGCTTAAAAATATCTGTATTTGGTTCTGATTTTCTAAAGTCTGTTTTCACTGATTATAGCACTTTACTTTCATAGTTTTTTGGTTGTGATTTTCAGTTTAAAGAAACCATCCCATTGTCTTTAGCCTCCCATTACTTCTGTTTTTGTTCAGTCGTTCAGTCATGTACCACTCTTTGCAACCCCATGGACTGCAGCACACTAGGCTTCCCTGTCCTTCTCTCTTTCCCAGAGTTTGCTCAAACTCATGTCCATATTTCTGCTGTAGTCTCTTAAAATAATACCTGGTCTGGATGATTTTTAACAGTAATACCCCTGCATGATTTTAGGATGTTTTTCTCCTATTTTTGCTGTGTGGAATTTAACCATTGTGCCTTGACTCAAGGCATGACTATTATTATATTTATTTGGCTTTCAGATGAATCTGTGATTTCTTGAACTCGTGAATTGATAGTTTTTGTCAAATTTTTAAATATCTTGAACTGCCTCTCTTCATATATTGCTTCTGTCTTCTCTTTCTCTCCCCCACATCTTTTTTTTTTTCATTTATTTTTATTAGTGGGAGACTAATTACTTTACAGTATTGTAGTGAGTTTTGCCATACATTGACATGAACCAGCCATGGATTTACATGTGTTCCCCATCCTGAACCCCCCTCCCACCTCCCTCCCCACCCCATCCCTCTGGGTCATCATGCATCCAACCTGGACTGGCAATCTGTTTCACATTTGATAAAAATATGTTTTGATGCTATTCTCTCAGATCATCCCACCCTCGCCTTCTCCCATAGAATCCAAAAGTCTGTTCTATACATCTATGTCTCTTTTTCTGTCTTGCAAATAGAGTTATCATACATCTTTAAGATCCTAGGGATCAAATTAAATGTATGCTATACCTTTTCACCAAGGCCCATATAGATCTTGTAACCTCTTTTCTGATATTTTCCATTCTTTTTTCTCTTTGTGCTTTATTCTGTATATTTTCTCCTGACTTATACTTCAGTTTACTAATTCTCTCTTCTACTATTTCAAATATGCTATTACACAGCTCAATTTGATTGTTATTATTTAATAATAGACATGATAACAGTTAATTACAGATATATAATTTCCTTTTGGTTCTATTTTGTAAAATTTTAGTGCTATGGTGAAATCTTCTATCTTGTATAATTTTTAAAGCTTATTTATCCTTTTTAAGAGTTTAAGATAGATAGATAAACACTGCTTGTCTTACCTGGGATGTCAGGTTTTTTTTGGAGGCTGGAGGTGAGAAGAGTAGACTTTTCATGGGTTGCCGTCTTCCTCCAGACCATATCTGAGTTTCTCCAGTGCACAGTTAACAGGGCAGAAGCTCACTGTGATGCTCTCAGGGCAGAAGAGGCGTGAGGGTCTGCTTGTTTGCAGCATCACTGCCTCCTCTCCAGGTCCAGCCCTTTAGAGGTGTCCACAGAAGCTCCTGATTCTCAGCAAAGCCCTGCTCTTTCAGGTCAGGGTTCAGCTTCTTAGTCGCTGTTTTCCTTTACATTCCTCAGTCATTCATCCCTCAGCAGCTTAAAATCTGGTAAAATGCTTAGAGAGGAAATTCTGCAAGAGCACCAGTCTCAGTCATTTAATTTCCTTTTCGCTAGGTCTTTCCTCCTCAAGTTCTAGCTGCAGACTTGCATTCTGGTGCCTTTAAGGAGTCGGGGCTTTGGTGCATTTTATATGTTCATGGTGCATGTTCTTGATGAGAAAATAGATCTGATTTGAACTACTTCAATATGGGGGGAAGCAGAGAGGTTTACTTGCTTTATTTGTGTTAGACATTGATTTCTATGTGGCCAGTAACCAGCTGCACTATTTGTAGTTACAGCACCTGCTACTGCTCTGGGCCACATGCCCGCCCCCCAAGCCCAGGTTGGCTCACTGCACACACTCTGCCTGCACAGCAGTTCAGTATTCTTTCTTGCAGGGGCTTTGCTGCATTTGCTCACATGACATATGTAGATACATTTAAAAGCAACATTTAGTTAAAATCTTAGGATGAAGAAAAGAAGTTATCTTCTCCACTCATTCTTAGACCTCCACACCACCCCCAAAACCCAACATTAGTTTCTTTTTCAAGGAGAGTCTCTTCATTTTCTGATAGTGTTTATTGTTATTTATCCTCATGTTTCTAAGTAATGTATTCCTTCCACTTGGACAATATAACGATTAGCCAACAGAGAGCTATGATCTAAATGCAGATAAACGTCAATATATTTGTGTTTGTATGTGGTTATCCAAGATGATTTCCAGCTGAACATACTCTGTGAAACTTTAATCCTTCCCTCAATCTGAGAGATTAATAGGAAGAAACCCAGAGTGACTGCAGCATAAAGTTATTATGCCAAAACAAAGTTGATTTCAGCACAATAAGTCTCTCCATGTATGCAACTTGATCTTTTCAAAGCATCTGAAATTGTTGGGGGTATTACACAGAATCATGACCCTAATCTTCCGTCGTCTCAACTGTGCTAATCCCTGTCCACCCCCAGGTTCTCTCCACCCTCTCCCTGCTGCCTGAGCAACCTGTGCTCTTGCCCAAACTCTGACTATTGGCAGTATTTATTTGCTCATACCACCTGCAAGTCAGGGATTGAAGGTGGACTTAGAGCTGTCCATGAAGCAATCAATTCTTCATCAGATCATCATTTCTCCCTTGCTTTGCAGAAATTCCCAAACCAAAACAAAAAAGAAAAAAACAACAGCTGTTTTCTGCTTCTTGAACTCTTTTGGGTGCTGACCCCAACTCATGAACAATTCCACCAGAAAGACCCAAATGTCTCCTGTCTACCCCAGTTACTCTCAGAGTTTTTTAAAGATACAATGTAAACTCTAGAAAAACAAGTACCTCTTCTTTTCACCACTGACTGTAGTATCTGTATCCCCAACACTGACTGTAGTATCTGTCAGAGAATGGGACTAGATAAATATTGCTCATTTAGTGAATGGATAAATTGGTATAAATAAATCACTCACCACCAGCAGCCTAAAGGCTCCCCATGTCCACACCTACTGTACTTCTATACCTTCTCTTCTCCTTCTGCTTCTTTATCTAAATCAATCCTCTGCATATTTTCTCTGGATTCTTATGATCCTATTACAGTTGCACTTATTTCACAAGTTAGCAAGGTAATGCTCAAAATCTTTTAAGCTAGGCTTCAATAATATGTGAACTGAGAACTTCCAGATGTACAAGCTGGATTTAGAAAAGACAGAGGAACCAGAGATAAAATTGTCAATGTTCACTGGATCATGGAGAAAGCAAGGGGATTCCAAAAAAAAAAAAAAAACCATTTGCTTCATTGACTATGCTAAAACCTTTGATTGTGTGGATTACAACAAACTGTGAAAAATCCTTAAAGAGATAGGAACACAAGACCACCTTACCTGTCTCCTGAGAAACATGTATGCAGGTCAAAAAACAACAGTTAGAACTGGACATGAAACAATGGACTGGTTCAAAATTGGGAAAGGAGTATGACAAGGCTGTATATTGTCACTCTGCTTATTTAACTTATATGCAGAGTACATCATGCAAAATGCTGGGCTGGATGAATCACAAGCTGGAATCAAGACTGTCGGGAGAAATATCAACAACCTCAGATATGCAGATGATATCACTCTAATGGCAGAAAGTAAAGAGGAACAAAAAGGTCTCTTGATGAAGGTGAAAGAAGGGAGTGAAAAGGCTTAAAACTCAACATTCAAAAAACTAAGATCATGGCATCTGGTCCCATCACTTAATAGAGGAGGAAAAGTGGAAGCACCGACAGACTTTATTTTCTTGGACTGCAAAATCACTGCAAATGGTGACTGCAGCCATGAAATTAAAAGATGCTTGCTCCTTGGAAGGAAAGCTATGACCAACCTAGACAACATATTAAAAAGCAGAGACATCACTTTGCCGACAAAGGTCTGTGGAGTTGAATGGTTTAGAGATGACGGTTTATCCAGTAGTCAAGTACAAATGTGAGACTTGGGCCATAAAGAAGGCTGAGTGCCAAAGAATTGATGCTTTTGAATTGTGGTGCCAGAGAAGATTCTTAAAAGTCCCTTGAACTGCAAGGAGATCGAACCAGTCAATCCTAAAGGAAATCAATCTTGAATATTCATTGGAAGGACTGTTGCTGAAGCTCCAATACTTGGCCATCTGATTCGAAAAGCCAGCTCATTGGAAAAGACTGATGCTGGGAAATATTGAGGGCAAGAGGGGAAGGGGGTGGCAGAAGATGAGATTGTTGGATGGCATAATTGACTCAGTGGACATGAATCTGAGCAAAATCTAGGGGATAGTGAAGGACAGGGAAGCCTGGCATGCTGCAGTCCAGTACAGGGTAGCAAAGAGTCAGACATAACTGAGCAATTGAGCAACAACAATAACACAACATATTTTAAAAAAACGCAGCCATTAAAGAGAAATATCCAGCATTCCAAGTATCATTGCACACAGACTTTAAAGTAAACTAATGCTTTGGAAAGAATATGGGCCCAGAGCTGCCATGTTTATCTTACTGACCTGTTAAACAATAGTTTGACAGTAAACTAAAAGTGAAAACTGCAGTCTTTTTAAAACAAAAATAAATAAATAAAAATAATATAGTCCTGTAGAAACTGACCAGTGTCATCAAGTCTTTAAAAAGGCAGATCTGAGACTTTTGTTGCACACACATTTAACTAACCAGCTTGGCATGTTTTATAAAATAGCTAAATCAATTTGCTACTTCAATTGCATTTGATGTTCCAATTTTACTTTGTTTACTGAAGCCCTGACATGTGGTAAGCAGCTGTTGATACTGCCAATACTTTTGTGTTGTTTTTCCTGTTCCAATGAGCATGGAACCCCGAGGTGTTACATCAGATGTCTGGCTCTGTGTTGTAATTAATTCCAAAGGGACTTCAATGAGTCTACAATTGCGGGGGGCATACTGGCGATCGCCTACATTGCTAACATTGTGCTGACACTACCTGGAAACCTACAAGCAGTGGGTTTCTCAGATACCATCAGTAAGATCCCTCTAAAGCTCTTCGTAGGCAGGGTCCTGGGGCCCTGAGTAGAGCAGACAAAGTCCCTATCATGACTTCTGCCACTGCTCCATTGTACAGAGCTGCCACCAGCCTGTATAAAGGCAATTCCATCATTTATAATCACCCCTCAAGTCCCAGGTAACCAAATGTAACATACTTTTCCACACAGGGGAGAGTGGCCCGATTTTTCTCACTGAGGTCTGAGGACGCCTTCTCATCAGTTCCAGCCATCTCAGCATGGTTGCCTGGATACTCAGTCTCCTCGCCTATTATTCTGATTAAAGGGCAATTTAGAGGATTTAAAAAAAAAAAAACACTGATCTGGCATGTAAAAATGTCATCAACCCTCCCTTACACTGATGTGCCAAGTGGTGGACCAAGCACTGCGGTTTAGAGACAGCTTTTTAAGAGGGCAAATAAGAGAGAGATCCCCCACTTCCTCATCCCCATTATACGTTTACATACTAAATGCAGGGCAGTGTCTGTGGGTGGATTTGAGAGGGGTTTGTAGTGGGTGGGGGATGTTGCAGGTATAAACTAAGACTTTTTATTTCACAATTTAAAGATAACCAGTCCTTACTGTGAATAAATGGTCATCAGAATGATTATGGGGGAAAAAAAGGACAAAAACGCCTCCAAACCCAAAATTCCTGGTGACTTTTCGACAAACAAACGTTTGTGTTGTTTTGAAAAGTCACAGCCCTATTACTCTGATTCAGAGCAAATTCAAGTTATAAAAATTCACACCTGCTGTCTACCCATGTGAATAACTCATTTTTATTGAGATATAATTTGCATACCATAAACTGCATGTCCTTCAGGTGCACTGTCTGTTAATCTGAGACATAAGCACATGTCTGTAAAACTGTCACCTCAGTCCAGAGGGTAAAGGCACAGAAGCACCTAGAGTTCCCTCAGGTGAGCACTGTTCGCTTTCCTTCTCTATTGATGAGTTTGATTTTGGGGGAGAGTTCTGTAGATGGGAACACAGAGTATGCATGCGCTCTGACTGTTCTGATTTCTTTCACTCCAGATCAATGTAAGGATATGCCAACTTTTGTTTATTCTCCACCTGAGAGTAAGCCTTTGGGATAGTTTCAGTTTTCCACTCTTACAAATAAAGCTTCTATGGACACCATGTTCACTCTAAGGACGTAAGGCTAGAGCACATGGTGAGTGTGTGTTCACATGGTGAAAGAATTGCCAAGTCATTTCTCAAAGTGGTTGGACATTATTTCA